AATTGCGGAAGAGCTACCGAGCCAATTGTCATTTTTCGATCTAGTATGCATAGGAGTGGGCAGTACTCTAGGAAGCGGTGTTTTCTCCACAACAGGCGGCATCATTAGTAGAACAGCTGGCCCGGCTGCTTTCATCAGTTGGATTATTGCGGGTGTTGTATGCTGTATAAACGCCCTGGCTTATATGGAGCTGGTCACCCGCGTACCATCCTCAGGTAGTACGTATGCATACTCATTTTATGCTCTTGGTGAGCTGCCAGCCGTCGTTGCAGCGTGGCTGCTCACGCTCGAGTACGGTATATCTGGAGCAGGTGTTGCTCGTAATTGGGCCACCAAAGTCCAAGAATGGCTGGTTGAAGAACACCCAGAGCACACGTACCAGTGGTTAAACGAAGACTATACAAATTTACTTGGAGCTGTCTTGATGGCTCTGTGTGTGGCAGTATTGCTGATGGGTATTCAATTTGGCAAATGGTTTGTGAACATCATAACCACCGTCAAGGTGTTTGTGGTGTTATTTATCATTGTTGCTGGCTTCATTTTTATCGAGCCAGACAATCTCATCCCTTTCATTCCACCTCGCCAGGAAGTCGACAATAAAATGGCGTTTGGTTTCCAAGGTATTATCACTGGTGCCTCATCAGCTTTCTTTGGATACATTGGTTTTGATGAAGTTTGCTGTTTGGCCGCCGAGGCCAAGAACCCCAAAAAAGTCATGCCTTTGGCTGTCATAACTGTGGTACTTGTCACAATGTTCCTGTCTTGCTTTGCGTCGTTGGTCCTAGCAGGAATGATCCCATTCTTACAGGCCGAGAGTTTTGGTGCAGGATTTCAGTATCAGGGTGCAAATTGGGCCTCTAAAATCGTGCGTGCTGGCGAGACCTGCACAATGCCAGTTGTGGTTCTAGTCAGTTTTCTAGCCCAGCCACGTCTTAATTATGCGCTGGCATGCGATGGCTTGATCCCACGTATCTTTTCTCAGGTTGATAAAAATGGGACGCTGTTTGCTAACACACTCATTTCAGGAGCCTTTTTCACGATTGTGGCCTTCGTCATGCCGTTTGACAAGCTGTGGGATATTGTCAGCTTTGGCATCCTTCTTTCCTTCAATATGTCCATGGCATCTCTTCTCATGGTGCGGATGCGCAAAAAATCTCCGTCATTGGCCCCCAAGCTGATCGGTCTCATGGTCGTATTTGCATGCCTAGCGGCTTTTTTCTACCAAATTGGCTACGCAAACGAGGGCAACGACTGGTGCCTCGTCGTTGCAATCGTTTTTCTTATGCTTATGGTCGTCGTGTGTTTGGTCATGTATTTTAAATGCCCACAAGAGACTCAGAGCGATGAAAACTTTACAGCTCCGCTCGTGCCATTTCTACCAACATTTGCAGCATTAGCTAATTTTTATCTGGCCGCTCAGATCAGTTATACAGGCATCTACTCAAGCTGCGCGTGGCTGGCGGCCGCTGTCCTATTCTACTTTTGTTACGGCTACAAACATTCAGCAGGTCGCACAGGCTGGAGGACGTTAATGAGTCTGCCACGCGTATCAGCCATAAGGTCATCAATGCTATCGGACAAGAAACACTTACACTCGCCCATGCTCTCGAACAAGAAACATTCACAAGTGGAACTAATTTAAGTAAATCGCGGCAATTTGATTGCAAAATTTCGACCCATGTCATACTTAAGAAACAGCTTCAGTTGTCGTTTTAAATGAAATAATTAGAAAGCAGTTTTGTTTTGACCGGCGCTGATGTGTCGTTCGTCACCACACTTTGGCCCATTTATACAAAGATCTGCCATCACTATCCTTAAGCTCAGTTGACAGTTGGTAACCGTCTCTAACAGTGTTTTGCTGCTAAATACAATATAAAAACCGGAGTGAAATGGAATATACCGAGAATTGTTCTCTTCGCTTCATCAGACCTTTACTTTTGTACCTTCATCCTGTTCGATACCATTGCCGTGCTGCAAACACTTAACTAGCGCATTTTTAATTACTTGTCTACTTCTACAGGTGACAAAAATTGCTTCGCAATCTGAAATGGGCCACTTTTGTCATCCGATTAAGCGAGTTAGAAACAACGGTGCTTGACGGGATCACTGTCTCAGCTAAACGGTCCACTTCATTCGGCATTGTATCGGAATTTGTCATGATGACAGGACGGCGCTACCCAAAAATTGATCAAGTCATTTTCTGTCAGAGAACTCAAAATATAATTTTCCTTGATCATGCAAACAACAACTCCCTCAACCAAATAAACCTCATAGTGGGCCGATCTTAATTGGTCACAAAGAGGGAAAAATTGTTTTCTAACGCGAATTTCTTATTGTGACGATACGGTAAAAAACGTGACTTTTCACGCCAGGTAACAATGTTTTAGGTAAACTACGACGACTGAGCTGCTCTGCGGTACTCGCAAATGTTTTGCCTGCGGAAGTGCAAAACATCTTTTTCGTTTAGAACCTTTTCTCCTCGGCTGAGTGGTAATAAGGGTCGGGCTGCCACGCAAGAGCGTCCGACGAGCTCCTCGTGGAAAAAGTGAAATTAAAGTAGACGCAGGGCGGTGCACTTCATGGAGATTGCGGGCAATAAGACATAGACTTATAAGGAAAAAATTCATCTAAGAGAGGTGGGGCTCACAGCCCAGAGTTTGATATTCATCCCGAGCATCGTGAAGCCGCAGAAAGTCCTGATAGATTTAGGATCATCGTGCAACTGCGCACGATGAGCGACTGTAAAACATGGCAGGCAGTACAAAAAGGCATTGTAGATGCCAAACGATGATCCGATATCCGGACGTCTTGCCGGGGGGAATCTACTAGAGTGTCATAGGTTTATTTGAAGTTCAGTAGCCTTTCCAGATTTTGACAGTGTGTGCTGGTCCCACTGCGTAGCCCACTCGCCAGCCTGTACATGAAAAGGTTTTGCCAGCAGATTTTACTATACATATTTAGGAAAATCTATGCATTTAAAATTTGGCGGCTTTACCGCAGATAAAAATCAACGGTCAATTTCAGATTCTAACGGATGCGTTAATTAGCCTTGGGTTAAGGCAATAATTACTCTTGGAGTTAGCGGATTGCGATCCGCTAAACTCGTACTTGTTCTAAGAATAGAACGAAAGGTCGGTGACCTAAATTACGCTTCCTCTAAGCGCGAAGCTACGGAAAGTCCGCTGCACAAGGACTGCCAGCACTCCAAGGTTATCGGTAAACTGGCCAGCGGCGCTGCCGCATTCAGAAAGGGATTTACCCTTTGACACGTCTCACACGTGCGCACATATGTGCTTTTTTATTTGAATAGCTTGGGTCACCAATAGTGGCAACTGACCGAGCTGTGCGTCTTCTTACGCCCGATATTGCATAGAGTGGGGTAGCGTCGGCCACATAGAAGATACGGTATTTAATATCTTCATCTTGAGAAATCACAATTCGTGGCGTATTCGTCAGTTCGGTGCTATAATACAGCAACCTGTTACTCAACGAATATCGGTGTAGCGCGCAAACGCCCCGACAATTTCTTGTCCGAGTTTCGAAACTTCCTGCTCCCGAGAGCATGAACATCATGGTTGGCTAAAGCGACAAGTTCAATCGGACTGGTTAATAGATCTTATCAACTGCTGATGAGAGGTCGCAAGTTCCCTCTCACTGCGATATATGCTCCGAGCAGAATGCTCTGGAAGTGGCTGGTTATGCAACAGGAACTATTTAAATCACCCGCGCCACTCAATTATCTGATGGCTTAGCTGTTCGGGCCATATCGTGGCTGTGCTTAGACTTAGTTCAACGATAGATGCGTCCAAAGTTGCACTCCACAAGTTGGAAATGGAGAACCTCACTAAGTACTTGATGGCAGTACTAGAATGTATGCACTTAAATAAGCTATTCGCTAATATAGTCAAGTATACCTTGATTGCCGACGAGATCTTCTTTCTAAGTTGCATTTTTACATTTAGAAGCATTGTCGGTGGGAAGATAAAAGTCGTTGTAGATTGGTCAGAGCCTCTGACAATTTGCTTGACCTGGTCAGCTACTTGCAAAAGTATAGTGCGAGTGTGCCGACATGATACTTCTCCTCTCCTATCTCCTAAGGCCGATGTCAAATGGTGTTGGAGTAGGTGATTTTCAAAACCATAAACGAACATTTTATTTGTGCATGGATTCTGGCACTTTCTATTCCGGCTGTTTGATGTCGTTTACAAGGCCAAGGCTCACCACAGGCTTTGATTTACTCCAAGCGGATGTCAGTGGGCTTTAATGTGGAGTCGCAATTAAGGCTCGCCGGCTTAAAGTGATGGAGAAAATAACAGATTATGACAAAAGGCAAGAGTATACGCTCGTCGAGTTCAAGTAGTTTTTTTCATACTTGACACTATGCCGTTTATGATTCGTCCCGATTATGCGTCGTTGCGCAAGCGACGTCGTCTTCACATTTCTCACTGATAATGGAATGGCACGATGGTAATCCTCATGTGATGAGTACGACGGGTTGACTTAATGAGGCAGCGGGTTTGCTTTTTCGTCGCTACGACTATAAAGTTTTGCATGTCACGATGATGACGTCGCCATTCGGCGAAGGTGTGTGTACAGCGTACGGGTCACAAGCAAGATGGATCGAGGATACAGGGGGTTCTGGGCTTTGCTGTCGCTTCATCAAAGCGCGCAATTGCACGCCTATACCTATATTACTTATCACAAGGCTTGCTGCATTTAACTTTGCGTGTATAGGTGGCTCACGACGTAAACGTTAAGTACATAATCAGTATGAGGTACGTCTTTGAGTGGCCACCCCTCGGGATTAAAAAGACGTACCACTCAGTAGGCACTATGTATTGGCGGCCAAAATGTATAATTGGGTAAACACATATGTGCGCACGTATAAATCGCGTCAACGATTTTAATCCTCGCGCCATGCTTCGGCGCCTCGGGTCAAGTCATCGATTCTGGCAGAATGTTGAAAGTCCTTAAGTATGGACTTTCACTGTGGTCATCTAAAAGATGCGTCCAGTAATGGGCTTTGTGAACATCCGCACAACATTACTCGTCTCGCCGCTGTTAGCGATATTGTGTCCAAGCAGTACTACTTGTATAAATATGTGTGGAACTGTTGCTCCTATAAGTGACGGAATTACTGTGACGCATGTTTGGATTGAAACACAAGAAGGGAAATATATATAAGACACATAGCTGTTGCTCGACAACTTTTTTTGCTTTTAAGGCTTGCTAATAGCCATTTGATTCCGTTTTTATGAGCAAGGCTCGAATTGATTATGTCAAAGGTGTTAGACAACAGAGTAGATATGTCAACCCTTGGTCATCCGGAAACCGATGGCCATACGGACCCCGTTATTCGCGTCGTGAAAGATGTCGTCTGGGGTGCTTTATGCGGAGAGACCGCGGTGCTGAAACGAGATCTCACTCATTACGTCAGCGTTATATCACATAGTACATAGTCTTACGTACTTGTTTATTTTACCCTTTTTACATTGATGGTTTGGAGAACCCCCGGGTACGTTTGACAAAAGAATGAAGTAACTGTGGTCTGGGCGATGCAATGCAACTTGCTAATATCAGCTGGATTACATTTCGTATCAAATTCAGTGATTTATCTGTGGTTTGTACTGAAACACTGACAATGTTGAAGTGCATTTTTTAGAAGAGGAACTCTATTATTATGTAATTAAACACTTTTACGAAACATTACGAACTTGCTATCTGACAGTTTGAAATGATTTGATACTGTTTCTGGTCAGAGTTCAATCAGCTGTATATTATTCTTGATGTCGGATATTGATTCTTCTACACAGCAACAATCTTGCGCAGGAATGTTTCACGCGCGGTCGGGATCGCTACATCGAAGAGAGCGCTAATTCACAGTTCATCACTCCTCAGAAGCGGTTGGATAAACTCGTGCTCTCCACGAAAAATATGTAGTGGGTATCAGAATACTGGCAGGAATGCCGGAGTAAAATGCGTCGTCTCACGTCCCTCAAATTTTTGCAAGCCAGCTTCAGTATAGTGGACCTCCGGGTAGAGCGCCGGCTGATGCTTAACTATACTTAGTAAAAACCACAATGCGGTTGTAGAGATAAATCGTCTTCATCATCAGTTCCTTCTTGCAGTTCTTCTTGCCCCATGAGGCGACTGTTACAGCAAACGACACAGCGTCAGGCTTCCCACACGATCAATCCTCCTTGCAGAAGGAAGTGCGTCGCGATGGGTGTCCCTGCCTCTTTTCCGAAAGAGAAAATGGTGGAAGGTGTGAGGAGGCAACAGCGTCTGGTCACTTCTCTTCTCTTGCGACCTCAAAATCCCATGCGTTTGCCGAGTGGGGGTACCTGCCATTTCACCAGCACCCTGGCAAATTCGCCATTCCACCAAACGTTCCACTTAAAGAATAGGCTACCCCATGCCAATCGAGCAGTGCCGACAGAGAACGAAACTCCGCCAGCTGGCTCTCGTGGTTTCACTCGATTCTGGCGACACGTAAGATCTCCCTGCGAGTCTCGTCGTGCGTTCATAGCTGAAGATAACTTCGGATGCACTCTACCGGCTATGCCATTGCAATGCATACTCTCGTTGGTTTGGAACTGCGTCGCTAGTCTTTAGCAGCCGGTAGTTCAGGGGATGGTTAAGATACAGCTTCGTTTGTAGCCGAGCATTTCACATTTAGATAGCTCACCCGACGATTTCAGTAAGCCTACGTGCCACGTCTCGACCCCAATCCAAGTTGTATCTTAGTCTGCGTTACTTCTGGAAGCTTCCACTATGCGTAAGTAACGTACACGATTCTGAGCGTACTGGTAAGCTCTGGGATCAACCGTTGTGTAGCTGCCGATTGAGACTCCACTTTGACGACATCTTTCACTTTCAAGCGACCCTTGCATAGATTATAACGGTTTGCATCTGTTCTTGACCTTCTCGCCAATTATGCACTTCGGGGGCCACGACATACAGTCGTCAATTTCTCGTATAAAAAGATATACACAAAAGACTACGAATACAATCGACCTTTTCTACTACATTCTAAGACTCCGGCTTGATTCTGATGTGCCTTCTGAGCTCTGTTTGAGACACCTAGCCATACCATTACTATCAGATAGGACTATCCTATGTCCTGCACAGCTTCGTGGCTGCGCCGAAGGCGGATTTGAGAGCGTGACTCGCCAATGCTTTGCCAGTAGAATAGTGCGTTGTATCTTAGTTTATCAAATCCCAGTGGATCCATTGCTCGTATATCCCAGTTATGCCATGCCTAGAATTAGTTTGTATCTCGAATTGAGGACCAAATCTAGGCAACGTTTCACACTGTCAAAGTCCTTAAAGATTCAATATAGCATCTTACATGTCCACGTCACAAAACACACGAATATCGTATCAGCATTTGGCGTTTTCAATACCTCCTAGAACTGTTTACTGATTTTGATAATCATACGACGTTAGAAACGCATCTTTTACCGAGATGTTGCAATATGTGCCCATTCTCACGCGCGATCTTCTAATCAAAAGGTGTCACGCTGTGGCCCCTTTTTAGTCAAGGCGGAGTTTATGCCATCTCAACTTCTATCATACAAAAGTAGAGATTATTTCAGTCCTCGCCGGAAGGCCGTGACTCTCAGCATCAACGTCTCACGATGGAAGTTATCTCTCATTTTACCCGCTCCCATTGAAACACTCCTTTTCGTGCCTCATCAGGACAATCTCAACGCAAATGAGCGCCTCTGGGCAAGCCGTTTCCGCGTCCGACCCTTCGACCGCCAAATTCACGCTCCCATCGGGGCCCAAGGTAGACAAAAGATTGTTGGGCTGATCTATTTGTCCCGGAAACACTACTCGAGCATTTGATATTTTATCCTCGCTGAAGATTCAGACTTCCCACGTCTCGGTCGTGGAGTTAAACAAATCAACTACGAGCGCTACTATGTGCATTGGGGTTGCCATGTACTTGGCATAGAAGATACTTTGACTTTCAGAGTCCACCTTGGCAAATGCGCAGACGCTAGTGCAATCATACCAAAAGCAGAGCCAAAAGCCCCAAAATAACCAACACTGGGAGTTCACCGTTCAAGTTCAAGATTACAAGTATTAGATAATATACTTATTTAGACTCATACCATATATATGCGATTTAAAATCTCTCACGTGCGGCTGTTAGCCCATGTGTACGTCGGACTCCTTTTTATGAATAGCCAAGTTCTTATAATATCGATATTTTGGTGCACATAAGATATTCACGATCACACTAGGTATGATACGAATCTCTTACAATTGTACCGTATTGTAATCAGTACAATTGTACTAAATCTGACAGGGTCAAGTACACGAAATTTTAGTACTTTTCCATGCAGTGACTAGAAGCCTAACAATATGTCGACTTAATTTTTACCTTTTTATTTACGTCCTAGATAAACTTTATTGGATCCATGTGAATAGTCGGCAAAACTGCAATTTGTGCCACCCCGTCAACAAGCCTGTCTAGATCACTAACCAGCAACTATACTGATCAATGAGGGCTCAATTAAACGTCTCCATACCAACAATATGCAAATCAAAGCGACTTATCGACTCGATTTGGCAGTACTTGGTGCTTGAAAGTCCCATACATCACGCAAAATTCAAATTGGACAGTGGCGTGGGCAGTACGTCCGCCTTCATACATCTGTCCAAACGGTATTATAGCTCGACTTGGTCGCCCTCAAACTTTTCGCAGAAAAAGTGAAAGCGAATGTCGATGTGCTTGTTTCTTGTGAATCAGGCAACGTGATTAAATTTATTTTTTCGAAGATTTTGACAGGTCCATCGTTCTTCATCTCACTTAGCTGACACGAAAATTGCCTTGAGCCAAACTTTTGTACATTTCCTGTCAGTATCATGTACTCTGCTTATGCTGATGAAAGTGCCACTGCTCGCGGCTTCTTGATTTGTCGACTTATACATCCGGAGCTAATCATGCAAACATCTTCGCTTTTTTGTCAATTTTCAGCGTCTTCGGCACAATCCTCGTCTGAGTAGCTCTAAAGCTTATCCTTTTCTGATTTACAGAACTTGATGTCATCTGGTGGCTCCTTAAATGTTGCAATACACAATCTTTACGGAGTGAATGTGGGTTAGGTATGGATTGTAAGCAGAATAGCTGATTTTTTCCACCACAGTTACGAGGTCCGGTTGAAAACCAACTATAACATACATAAACAGCCAATTGCATTGCTGAACCACACATAAATCTTTGATTTGCTGCGCCTTCAGCTGTTTTCACACATTTTCTTTGTCGACTTGAGAATTTTATGGAGTCCTGACTGTATTGCTGAAAAGTGTTTTCTGCGAACTCAGTATGACGCATTATGACAACTTTGCTAAGTTGATATGCCGATCATGATACCAAGGTAGTACTCCGATTACCCAAGTATTGTGTTTGGATTATCCCGCTTGAATTCTAGCTCGATCATAATTCGGCTTCACATTTGTTTAGACTGCTTCAAATCATTATGTATACGCTTAAGCAAGCAGACAATAATTTACCTTAAACTATCGGGTTTGCCACCGCTCAACACCTCCAGCTTGGTTTTTCTTGATCTAAAATGCCCACAAAAGCCAACCGCTTTACGTACCCTAGGCAACGAAGTCAACCGTAATATATTGGGCTGTGTAGCGAGTCGGTCTCTGACCTACATGTGTCCTTCCACTTGGCCACGTTGCTAAATTTCATTGCTGTCCTACACAAGTTGGCAATTCTTTCACTGCACCCACAACAAATGCCGCTTCGATACCTTGAGCTACCGTCGACATTTCATCTTACAACAGCTGTCGCCCCTATTGATTTACAATAAAATCACGGCTGCCATTTTTAAGCGTGTTTGATATGACGGGTGCACGGCTTTTCCAAAACCACGACCGTCAGTTCTGTCACCCTCATCAATTTTTATTACAATATGAGCGCTTACAATTTTTGTAGACGCTCGCTATAAACTGCGTGTCTCTGTTGATTAGAAAGTGGCCACTCTTAATCTCTTTAAGGCAGTATCCTTTTGTGCTCGGAGCATTCAGTAAATCAAATTTGCATGGCGCGTGCATTGGTTTGCCCCGTTTTTTTGAAGCAGTAACAAATGCGTGACACCTGGAAGTTTGCTAGCCCTTGTTTTGTCCAAAACCGGAATTGTTGTGGGGATTTGCCCATCTTTGAACCGCGATTTGAGCTGCTATTTTGCAAAATATTGTCTTCATAATTGTCGCACCTCGGTAAGTCTTTGGCAAACTTTGCATGATCCATCATGTATTGCGCACATTCCACAAGTGTACCCTCGGCTACGCCATAAATCTGAGGGGGCTGTCCTGTTACTTAATACCCTGGCGCTAATGGAGCTTGACCATTTCACAGGACGTGAGCTTGCTATCGCCATCACAGAAAGTAGCTTCGACCACTATCCCAGGCTGAGTCTCGGTTAGCGCTATAAACTTGGCAAAATTCTCAGCGAATTCCAGCTTGGTTCATAGCAGATAAGCCCTAGTAAATGCAAGTTTTTGTCAACAATGCTACAAAATAATTTTCTTACCAATTAACGTTGGTGAAGTCATTGGGCTACACGCATTGCTATGAATCCCGTTTAGCGAATCATCTGCATAATGCCGATTCAGTCAGAAAAAATACCAAATATCTCTTGACGATGGTGTTGAGTTCGCCATAGCCAGTGCTGTCAAGTCAAATGTGACATAGGTGCGACGTTCTGTCTCCATGGTATCCCAACGGACTTTCAGATTGGCCTCGTCATCGCTAACTCTTCTTCTCTTCTCTTCTCTTCTCTGCTTGCACCGTGTATGTACAGCCCAAGCAGTCCCTTTACACCGTGAACTCCATATTTTTATTTGTGGCACTCGCAAAACAAACTCGCTTAAAACGTTACCGGCCTCACTTCCTTCGTGAGCGCTTGATGAAGGCCCGATTGCATGACAGCTTAAAAATATGCCACTCTTCTAGTAGCACTCCCTTCTTGGTTTCATGTGGAATCACAATGTCCCCAGTTTCGACAGATTAAAAACGTCAGATGAACATCAATTGGCACAATTTCCTTGTGGTTTTTTGTGTACTCTTTTGAGTACGTCATATATAATGTCGCACCAACCATACGCAAGTTGACTTCGCGGCACATGCAAGATCACCAGCGAAGATCAAAAAGTTTCATCAAAGCATTTACGCTGAGCAATGCATGCTTGCTGTTGCTCCGCGTTCTCGCAAATAGGCACAGGGCACTTAGCGGTGTAGTGTCTTTGCCAACCATAGTGATGATTTGTACTACTGGTCTAAGCTGTTACTTGTCTTCCTATGCGCTGCACGCTATCAGTCGCGAAAAAGCTTACCCTGTTCCTCTGTGGCACATTCGATGTCGCTGCCTTGTTTCTGACGCTCTATATCCTTCATCAAACATTCGAGGTGTCGCAACCGCGTCAGAGTTTTTGCTAGCGGCTTGATGTTGTTGATATACAGCAGTATATCAATTATCTTCTTTGCCCATCATTGTCGAGAAAAGCGCAACGAAGAAGGAGGTTTTTATTTAAGCTCTTCGTTTTAAAATGCTCTTCAAGACGCATTCATGCATCATGCATACCGCGCGACGATAAACTAGCTCAAGTTCTCCGCAGCAAAATACATGCTTACCATTGCTTTACGAGACTTACGCGAGTAAGTTCCTTATTCCATCAAAGTAACGCACTGCTCTAGCTTGATATCGCCGTTTATAATCTTACGGTGTGATTTCGTGCTTATTGGATCGCCGATGTTATTTTTTGGAAGTATTAATAAGCGAGGGGTGAGTATGTATCTAAATATTTTGAGTATTTTTGTTTGCTGACACTTTACATTAAGTCACTAATTTGGATATCTGATGCTCATGTGTGCAGCACACAAAGTGAGCTTTTCGCACAAGTTGCATTTGTTAGAATGTCCAGTATCGAGAAGCTGTCAATCCGCGGCATTCGCAGCTTTAGTCCGAATCGCGAGGAAATTATCGAATTCTACCACCCTCTAACCATTCTTTTGGGTGATAATGGATGTGGTAAGACTACGGTAATTGAATGTCTTAAACTAGCTTGCACAGGCGGTCTACCTCCTGGCGCACGTAGTGGTCAAAGCCTCGTGCACGACCCTAAGATTGCAGGCACAAATGAAGTAAAGGCCAGTATACGGTTACGCTTTCGTAATCGAGCAGGTAAGGTCATGCTCATTCATCGTACATTCCAAGTACGACAGACGAAGAAGGCAATTACTTTCAAAGCCCTGGATGGCGTCATTCGAGTAGTAAATGAATTAGGCGAGAAGGTCTCCTTAAGTCACAAATGTGGCGAATTGGATCAACACATTCCCGATATGCTGGGTGTGTCGAAAGCTATTCTCGAAAGCGTCATCTTTTGTCATCAAGAAGAATCCAATTGGCCATTACGAGAAGGCGCCGAATTGAAAAAACGTTTTGATAATATCTTTGAATCGGCGCGATATACCAAGGCTTTAGAAGCTATTCGAAAGCTTAAAAAGGCAAGAATGGACAATGCTAAGGATTATAAAAGGGATCTTGACATTTTATCGGCTCACCGAAAAACAGCGGAGGATATTCGTGACAAAATAGAACGAGCGCAGGAAAAACTCCAAGAAGTCACAGAAAAAGGAGACGAGGCCAATCATGAAATTGTCAAAGCAAAGAAAACACTAGAAGAGTTGCAGCAACTGCAAGATGAAGTGAAGAAATTGCACGCACAGTTGGAAAGACGTGAGGAGGATGTGGAGAGGAAGCAACAGAGTGTGCGTACTGCATATGGAAAGATCGAAAAAATCATGAATGATACTGACGAAGAGTTGCAAAGTTCTCTAAACGACTACGATGCCATTATTGATGAACATCACAAAGCGTTTTCCAGACTACAAGAGCAAGCGGAGAGATTGAAGGATGAGCAGGAAAAAGTTAAACAAGAATACGTGGCGTTGTGTGCGTCAAAAGCCCGCGTAGAGACCAATATTGATACATATCAAAAACTGGTAGCAGACTTGATTGACTCGGCGTCTAAGCTTAGCACCAAGTACCGGTTTCACTTGCAGCCTTTGTCATCTCAACCTGAAGATGTCTCGGGCTTTTTGGATGCGTTTAAAAACGTCGTCAAGGACAAACATGACGCTGTTAATAGTCTCGATGTGAAGCAACGGCAGGATGACGACAAAATGACGACAGAGCTTCTAGAGTTATCATCACAGGTGAAACACTTAAGGGACGACCTTGCCACTAAAAAGCAAAAGCTTGCGGACTTGAAAAGAGAGAAAACGGTGATTGCAAACCGATTACGAGAGCTTGGGGGTGCTGGAATTCATTCACAGCGAGACGCTGAGGAAATGACATCGCAATTGGCGAAAACGGAGAAGACAATAGCAGAGTACAGGGCAAAAAACAACGTCATGGCCTTAAAAGATGAAATTCATGGTTTTAATTTGCGAATAAACGATATAAACCGTGTGATGGACGATCTTGGGCAGCAGATTAACCAACTGCGTCTTCGTGCCCGAGAAAATACCGCAATTGAGGTTAAGCGAAGCGAGCATCGGAAGAAGGAGGAAGTTTTTCAGGCCACTTTGTTCGAAAAAGTAGCCGATGTCGAAGACATATTTGAAGGTGGCGAAAAGCCGAAAGATCGAAATACTTTATTAACAGCAATCTCTGATATTGATAGCCGAATTACTGAGCGTAAGCGCTGTCTCGACGCGAAAAAAAGTGAACTCGTGTCAGCTGAGCAGCATTTGATGGAAAATGCAACGTCTTCGAAGCTTGTGGAAAAAGAATTAAATTTAATGCGATCAACGAAGAATCAACTTGAGCGGCAGCATATGACGAGGTTGAAAGAATTATTGGATAAAATCAATCCCGGACATGATTTGAAAAGCGCTGAATTGGGTATCAAAGAAGCGGAACGAGCTTATGCAGATGCCAAGGATAAAGTCGTTCGTCGCAAGAACATGGTCATGTTCTTAAACATTTACAAGAAGAAAGGCTTAAAAGAGCACTGCTGCCCATTGTGCGAGCGCGACATGACTCCGGCGGAAGCACAAGCTTTTGAAAGCATTTTAAGCAGTAAAACAGATGACAAAAAGGTTGCAAATAAGATAAAAGAAGCCGAAGAGCTTGAAAAATCGTGGCTTCAGACTTTGACAGAGATCAAGGAGAAGATACCAAGTTGGCGTAAGTGGCTCGAGTTGGAGACTACGATACTTGATAAAGTGAAGGAGCTTGAGGTGGTTTATAGTGCTCAAAAAGCTTTAGAAATTGACGTGAAAGATAAGAAAGCTGCGTTTGATCTGGCACAGGAACAGGTTGAAGATGCCAGAACAGCTAAGTTCGAGATGGAAATTTTGTGCAAAACTGCTAACGAGCTGTACCATACTGACATAGCACTACGAAAGGAAGAGGAGCGAATGGGAGGAAGTCAGGGATCCAGTGGTCGATCATTGTCGGACGTGGAAGCTGAAAAAGATGCTAAGCAGGCTCAAGTCCAGGATCTTAACCATCAGCTCCAGCGGAAGCAAAAGGAGCTAGATCACATTAATGACACGTTGCAACAATTGCAAAACGATTTGCTCAGTCGAAAAGAAGAGAAATTTCGGATGGAAACCCAGCGCAAGGAATACGATGAGGCCGTGAGAGAACAGAATCGATTGCGTGAGCAAGAGAAGGCGTTAAAAGACGCTTATAACCAATTAAAAGCATCCGAGCCCGAGCTAGAGCGTAAGCTTCGAAAGAAAACAAGTGAACGGGAGATGCGACGTACAGAGGCAAGAGAAGATCTACGAGCGCAACGTTTGGAGCTTCAGGAACGTCAAGGGGACTTTCAAGTCTTCAGTGCGAAATGTAAGCAAGTAGAGCAAGGCGAATTAGCCAAACTGGAGCGTCAAGCTCATACATTAAGCGATAATATTGCACAGACGAAACATCGCGAGGATGCAGCGATTCAATCATTGACAGACCTGACACCACAGATAAAAATTGCTGAGGAAGTTTTAAGTAAAAATGAAATTGTCAAGCGACAAATTCACGACAATCTCGACTATCGAGAGCTTCAAAAAGAGTTGGAAACGTTGCGTATTGAGGCTGAGGATCTTAAACATCAGGTTGGAAACTTGCCACTTCTTGATGACGTGAATGATCGAGTAGCATCAGCGAGTGCAGCATTGAATATGGCGGAACATTCGTTTGCTGTGATGAAGGGAAAGAGACAGCAGTTAATGGAAGACATTCGTGAACGAAAGGTTCAGCTTCGTGTGCCAACATTAAAAGATGTTGAAGAAAAGTATCGTCACAAGCTCATTCAGTTTGAGACAACACAAATGGCCGTGGCAGACTTGGATCGCTACTATAAAGCATTGGACGAGTCATTGCTGCAGTATCATTCAAAAAAAGTAGAAGAAATCAACACAATCATCCGTTCGTTATGGCAAATTACATACAAGGGCCAAGATATTGACACAATTGAGCTCGTGAGCGGTCAACTTGATGGTGCCGTATCAAAAGCTGCACGCTCGTATGACTACCGTGTCATGATGAAAAAAGCTGGAGCTGCAATCGATATGCGAGGTCGCTGCAGTGCTGGACAGAAAGTTCTTGCGGCATTGGTGATTCGGCTGGCTCTTGCTGAGACGTTTTGTTTAAACTGTGGTATATTGGCGCTGGATGAACCTACGACGAATCTGGACACGGAAAACAAATTTGGGCTTGCACAGGCTATCACAGAGTGCGTACGCTCGTTGGTATTATCACTTTTAGTCAACATTTAATTTGTTCTGGTCGTCAATTCATAGCATTCTCAGCGCGCGCTCACAGCAGCAAAACTTTCAACTTGTTTGTATTACGCACGATGAAGAGTTCGTGCAAATGCTCAGTCGAACGCAGACCATAGAGGGGTCCCGTCCAGAATTTTATTGGCGCATCTTGAGAGAAAACATGTACGTTCGTGCTTGCATTCATCTATCTTAAGTCTTTAGTTTTTAATTGCCATTGTTCAGCGGTGGTGATCGCTTCGTAAGCAAAATCGAGCGACGTGAGTGGGAAGACGGCATTTAATCATCCATTATACATAGCAAAAACTAGTTTAGGCATTTCAGAAAACATTTGACGACTAGTCTAGCTTTTATTCATCCTTTGTGCATCCAGCTTTTGCTTTAACTGAAGCTGCACGTCGAGATTACTGCTTTGTTTAAGCAGCTCACGAACTGCCATGGTTGCGTACGACGATGGACCTAGCTGAAATGTTAGGCATAAGGCACGATACTTGCCGTCGGGAATTGAGACTCGAGCGGGACGACACAACAGATGATCAACATCCGTTCTTAAAAGCGGTAACGTGGGGTCATTAAAGCGCTTGATTTCATGCTCCACATTAAGAGGTTTCTTGAGCACGTGACGGTATGAACCCGGAAGATGGTACTCCGAGTTGGTGGCACGCTTCAATGCTTGAAAGTCAATGCTGTCAGCCTTCATAATGTCCTCATATCGCTTCTTCATTGCGTTCTCTGGAAACGTGACATCATAGCCTGGCAGCGGGAGGACTACGTCGTAGATCGTATACTGGCTCAAATTGTCTTTCGTGACAAGGGTCACATTTGCTTTTGAACGAGGATGGATCCGAGGTTTCTTGGCCTTAGGGACAGCTTCTTCCATTAAATCTGCATTATCACAAGTATCTTCTACGTTTTCTTCTAAGATCGTATCGTGTGGAATGACGAGGTCGCCAACCACAGCCGCATTTCTTGGCATTCGCGTCAAACGTTCACTTGCTACAAGATTCCAGACATAACTCTGGTACGAGTGTGTGTACATCATTCGAAGATGGCGCGGAACACTCTGAATTGCCTTAGCATAAGCCGTCAAGCCGTGCGTACGAAGTCCGTGAAGTACAGCTCGCTCTGCGACAAGGTACGGAGGCAGCGCCTTCAGCGCCGCTTCCACGTCGTGCGTGGCAAGAAAATTTTTACGAGCCTCAAAAATTTTGGTTGCGTCACCTTGTTGAGGTGAAATAAGCAAACTCACAACGCGACTGAAATCACGTTGTAACAAAGCTCGTCCAATTTCGTGGGTTGCAATGGCTTTGGTGCCAAATCGTTGGAGTCCAAAGTAATTAATAAAGCCATGATCGCTCCAACTACGAACTGCGTTGTGAATCTGTTCATCAGAGATCGTGTCATCATCTGGAAGATCGCGAATAGCCATTGAAAAGCGATTGCCACGCAAGTCACCAAGATGCAGTCGATCTGAAACGTACTTTGCATTGCCCACGATAAAATTGCACGAATCTAGTTCACGACTAGCGGGATTTAGCGTTTCTAATTGCTCTTTCGATCCATGATAGACAGTAACCAGTTGTGTCGTAATACCACGTTTATCTTTTGTTCCTGCATATGTGAAAGCCGACACATTTGAGTTCAAAGCCTTCGCAAGCTGTAGCATGGCACTATTTGTCTCCAAATTGCGCTTATACAGCACAAATTCAAGGTAATCCGGTCGAATTTTCGGCCATGAGTTACGACTATTCTTTTCACTGCGTTGGTCCATATCTTTTCGCTTCAATCCACCAACCATTACACTACGAACACGAATAACCGGCACTCCGTCATTATTTTTGGTTGTGTCTGCCACAATTACGTCACTGCCGAATTCGCGCACAATATCGTGCACTGCTGTACGCATTTTCTTGTCTTGAATGGGCTGAAAATAAAAAGCATCGTCCCTTTCTGGTTTCACTTGAGCACTTAAGTCGTCATTTTCTTGTTTTTCATGGTTCTTGAGCTTTGCAATTCTTGCCAACCGCTTCGCTTCCTGCTCTTTCACCTGTAAGTCCACCATCTTCTGCATGAACGACGCCAAATTCTCGGCTACTTCCTGGCCACAAATTTCGGCTATTGACTCCTTAACTTTCTCAACATATTTTAGCTTTTGTCTCACTAAAGTCGCTCGCTTGTTGGCATTGAACGTACCTAACAATTTACCCGCTAATTTACCTACTAAAGTAATAATTGGCGCTGGAATCTCCATCTTTTCATTTGCCATATCAATCAGTAATGCGTAAACTTTGTGTTTAAAGATCTCACTGAGTTTCTGCGGCTTAACAAATCGCTTGACGTCCGACAGCGTCACAATACGCCCGTCTAGCGCCACCTCATGCACTACAAAGTCCGAAAATCGTTGTTTTGTGGCACCATGGAATCCGCTCACATCTGTTTTTAAGAAACTTTGAATACCAACCACAGACTCGTCTACGCTGCTCGGAACGCCGTCGTTGTAACCCGCAGATCGAAAATCGACACTATCCTGGCGTCCACCTCGTCCTCGACCACCACGTCCACCACGTCCACCACGCCGTCCACCACCTCCACGACGAAATCCACCATGGCCCATTGCAAAATGCCGCAGAATTCCAAGCGACCGAGTGATTGACGTCGTATCTGTTTGCCTCACGATACGAGTGGAGCTGGTGATTTTACACTCATCCTTCTATATAGTAATATGTCACTCTTTCAAACCTATAAGAATATATTTTTTCCAAATCACAAAATTACGGTATACCGAGAGGACTAAAGAATGTGGATACCAATGTTGATTTTCGGAGGCATAACGACCAGTTCATGGCTGCTACTGTATCCGTTGGCTGTATATTATAGTAGTAACGGGTTATCTGATGTTCCAGTGTGGACATTGGTGTCTTTTAGTTTCAAGCTTCGGCTGCACTCTATTATGTTATGGATCTTTGGAACATCACACAATCTACCAAAACTCGCTGATGTTGATCAACTACCTGGTCAAGTGCTGCGCGTATTGGGCAATAATCCAAGCAGAATGACACTAAGTGGTACCAATGTTTACGTGATAGGAAGTGGATCGAAAAGATTAATGATCGACTCAAGTGATGGCAATAGAACGTTTGAACGAAGGTTGCTAGAAGTCCTTAAGGTTCACGGAGTGGAAGAGATATCCGATTTACTGGTAACTCATGGACATTTGGACCATATTGGGGGTATTTTGCAGCTCAAAAAGAGATTTCCTGGTATTAGAGTGTGGAAGTATTTACCTGATGCTGATAAAGAAGGATGTCGTCGACTGAGTTTGAGCAATGTGGAGAGTCAACAATTGGGAATTAAGGCTTTGGTAGAAGGACAGACTTTCCGTGTGCCTGGCAGCGAAAACCAACTAACTGTAGTGTATACTCCAGGACATTGTAATGACCACGTTTGTTTCGTAATGAACAATGGAGAAGATCTCAAAGCATCGATACTATTCTCGGGAGACTGTATTTTGGGCTTTGGTAGTTGCGTATTTGACTCACTTCTCGACTTGATGGCATCTTTGGCAAAGTTGAAAAGATGCAGTGCTATCAGGATATATCCCGGACACGGGCCTGTGGTAGAGGATGCATCTGCCAAGATTACTGAGTATATCAAACATCGTCAACAACGAGAAGATGAAATTGTGAAAGCTCTGAAATTGCAAGGAGAGCTGTCACTGTCAGATATAATGAACAGAATTTACGAGCCATTGCCATTTGTATTACGCTATTCAGCAAGACAAGCAATTGAAAAGCATTTACAGAAACTGCTGATAGAGCGGCGAGTTCGTCTAATTCATCGAGCCGGATTGTTTCAAAGTGCCACGTATAGTTTAATTTAGATTGAAGAGTCGAGTATGTGGTATGCCCATTGATAAAAACTCCGCCATAAACGCTAAACTCTACCTTAACAAATAAAATTACAGCGCAGATAAGTTGATGTATATTTAAAAAACTTTTTGTAGGCTAGAGAAGGGAAAAAATAACGCAGGAAATAGTCGTCATACGTGCACATATTAAAAACAATCCCAAGCAGGAAGTTATGGCTGCCAAAATTGCTCTGCAATAATTAGATTCTTTGACCTACTGTGAAATCTTCACTCATATCGGACTAATCACGCTGTAGTATCTACTTAGGCAATTGCTGGATTTTTCTAAGCTCACAAAGCTGCATCACCGTCATCTGAGCTCGAGTGTGAACAAAAAACTGCGATGACGACTACCTCGCACTGCAATGAGTTTCCATCGATAAAAATCAACGTCTAGTACTCACGAGTACGGCGATCACATGCGAAATACTTGACATCACTTTGTTAGTGTACACTGGAAGTCACTTTTGCTTCACATGAGACTATACACAAATGACTAAATCACGTTCCTCTTGACGCCAATAAGGGGCTGCGGAAGCGTGCGAGTTGATCCACCACTGCTACTTAGGCTTCTTGACGCTGTCATAGCAAGACGAGATTCATAGTCTTCACCATCGCCACTCTTGTTTGTAATTGCTCTCGTTCGCGCCGAGCTCCTCGTACGATTTTTGAAAATTTCCATCTCTGTCAATGATGCTGCCGCGTACTTGACTAAGTTTTCAATGCTCTCTGGAGCGCGTAAATCGATTTGATGACAAAGTCGAATACAATTCTTACAAAAATGCTCATATTGTGGCAAGCGAAAGTCGTCGGAGCTTAACACGCGCACTTTTGATACACAACTAGAGCAAGTAGTACGATGACAAGCAGCACATTCTTTTGACGAGATAAAGAAGCCCGAGGCTTTGGTGAGACATAATTCGCACTTGTTGTTATCGGTAAATGGCCGCGTCGTGTGCTTTCCCGCTTCAACTAACGCAGAGGCAATCACTGCATGTGCTACCAACATTGCCTGTTCAATCCGCAGCCAAAGCTCTGCAGATTTAATATCCGCCACCCAGTCCAGGACTTTACCGCCAGCATCATTCTTTCCTCGCATGTACACATTGACTCCACCACTTTTGTTACGTTTATACAGGTAGCAAACGGAGAGCTTGGCACGTATGCACTCTTGAAATTGCGGACACGTTGGTAAGTCGACAGATTCAGTTAGCGTGTAGCCGATTTCTTTTCCATTATGATCGCGAGTCATTCCAATCTGTTCGTACCAACAAACGTCACGGTTTTTCACAAGTCCTTTGCCCGGTGACTCGACAGTCATCCACTTAAAACAAGAGAGAAAGAACGGATCACTTGGACTTCGTTTCTTTATCACACCCAATACGGCACAGTCAACAATGTCTTCACGATAAACGCCCGAGATGCGTCGAAAGTCGGGCGTATTATCGGCGTAGCGACCCATGACCACTTCATCTAGGGTACCATCAATGCGGCCTGTGCATAAGTATCTGTACTCACTATTGCCTTTAATCTCACGCCGACGATAGACAGTGAGATTGTGTCTCTGTTTAATTGGTTTCCATTTGCGCTCTCGTATCTCTTGTGTGTCGAATTGTTCTCGGTGGTACGCATCAATTGTCTGCTGTAGTATCGAATTCCCCCACTGCAGAAAGCTCTGTGCTTCCTCTTTGGTCAAGCGCAATGAAGGAAAGAAATTTAACGGTAGTGGGAACATGACGATAAATTCTTAACTAAATGGAAGATGCTAAGAAAGTAAAGGTGACGTACATATTGATTTGTTGAATCAAGTGATCATTTTGATTAAGTAAACAATATGAAATGCGTAGGATACCATCATATTGATTCTTTTTCCCACTTGTCTCATGAGTGGTAATTTTAAGTTAATAAAGACGCGATAAACAGCCCCCCATCTGTTCACTTTCATTTTTGATAACAATCATAAAATTTAAAGCGTCAGAAATGCAGTCGAATTGCCTATCCGATCTGAGTGTGTGACTTAGCATACAGCCTCGTTAGTATATGCTGCTGACAACGCTAAGACGTAGAACTAAGCTCAGAAGTATTAGCATATGAAACTATCACGGAACTGTTGAGGGGATCAGTCATCAGTCGAAACTGCCAATGTGCTATGACAGATTACTAATATTGAAGTTTAAGCATTAATGCGCCGGGTGTTTCTTTCTGATTCAGCTCCGTGATGCATTTGGCTCCAGCAACTGACGTCATGACACTTTTTAGCGAGGATGGTGAGGTTGTAGCTGATATAAATGGTTGCAGTGATTCCTTGAGTCGTGATACAACAGGTGCGTATTTACTGGTTAGTATACAATCAAGCTGTTCCCCTTTGACGGAATCTTTACAAGAATAAGGCATTTTTTTCGTTCTGCTTCATCTCTGCGCGCGTTGCGCACATATTCATGTACCCTAAGTCAAGGCATCATTCGAAGAGCTTACGACGAGGCTCAATTCAATACAAAATGACAAAATCTGGATTAGCAAGCGGAGCTTGCTCGTTTGCGAGCACATAAGTCATAGCAATTCTCTTGAAGTAGCCTCGGACCAAATCACATCGCTCACCACGGATCGATTGACTCAGTTCTTTGGAAGCCGTTCGTCGCACCGTATTGAATGCGTGTTATAGTCAGCTGGTGAGTGAAACGTGTGATCCAAAATCACTAAGTGAGCACTACCTGAAGCGATCGTACTATGCTGTGGAGATAGTAATGATGGATTAATAGACTAACTCAAACGCTAGCTACTAACTACTTGTCAAAATGATAAACCACGGCTTTATGAGCAGCAGACGTCCGACTTAAACGTCACAAATTGCTAGACTTTGCAAAGCGACATCGACATCGATGTGAACGTTCACCGCCAACTTTCCTTGGTGCTACCAATTTTCCGTGTAAATGCTGACACAGCTCGCAGCCAAATGAAAAGCTTGGAATAAGCTGGATCTTCTCGATAATTGAAGATGCACAACCATGTCTCGTATTCGGGGAAGGCTAAGACAGAAGGCGCGTCAATATGTGAGCGTCAACGATGCCAAAGCAATGTTGCCGGCATTACAAAAATAATACTATGAGCTCTTGGAGTACGCGTAACCCTTACCTACCCTTAATGCTCTCATTGGATCATAAATCGTCTTGGTCCTCATCTTGCTCATGCTAGCAAAGTAAGGTGTTTGTGTGAATAGTCCCCGTGCGATTTTTTGCGTTGTGACACCACTTCGCTTCTTTCCGAGAGTCTCTACTTGCGTTCGATGGGGGTATAAGTCATCTCTTTGACCCACTTCTGGAGCTGCGCATTCGGACTGTTTTAACAAAGAGGTTTAAATCAGATCGCTGCCTAGAGCAAAGAGTGTTTTAGCTACTGATGACCGTGTATACGCTTCAGCAGAGTGCTTTACACCCGAGCAGTTCGTGAGAGCGGGGTCGCGAGACAACTCTAGAATATATTCGAAGTATAGCTCAATCCTATTTTGGCTTAGACAGCGAAGAGTCCGATTAGAGAGGGCGCATTCTATGATTAATGGTTGCAGACAGGTGGGTGAACAGCGCTACTAAGGCGCAACAAACTCATTCGTATCTCGACAGTCCCTCGCAAGTCCATGCGGTGTATGTATATTCTGGATCTTTGTCGAAGCACAACACATCCATCACATCGCTTTGAAAGTTGCTGCTAGATAAGTATAATTTTGCTACCGGTATAGTTAGTTTGATATCAGCAAGTCGAATCGCATCAACAGCCTTTCCCCCATCAAAATTTGAGTGGGATTAGTTTATGGCGGCCTCAAAGAACACGGGATGAGCTAAATTACTGAATTATATGTACTCAAGCCTACGGTGTTGTGAGCTACATAATGTAACGCAAACCCAATGGCTGATAGCATTGAATCCAGAACCGCTATCGCTCAGCCCAGGTGCTGAAAAAAATATTCTCTTATTTGCAATCAACGCGTTTTTTCGACCGTCGTTCAAAATAGTTATCGCTGTGGATATGACATTGTGATCTGGTGATGATCACATTTGACAAAGTTCGCCACGAAAAAATGTACAGCGCGGATCTAGCTCATGGACGATCAAGGCATGTCAAATTTAACATTGTCGGCAAACAGCCTGGCTGTATCCTCACCGGTAGTAGTTCAACAAAAAGATTGATTTTGCTTAGACGGTCCACCAGTACCGCAATGTCGGTAGCACCGAATACGTCTTTCTAGTACCAGAGCTCTGCCGAGACCGAAAGGCTGACCGAGGTTGCCGATGAATGCAGCGCCTCTCAATTAATTAGATACACTGGTTTCGCTATCGAATACCTATGCCGAGCGTCGAGCGTCGATTGCGATGCAGCGGACTGTGCTATCAGCTGTGCATTTCATTATTCAATATTGACAGAGAAAAAATATTTCTGTTTGTCCAGACTTCCTCGAAGTACGCGCACATTTAAAATTGTCTTTCGGAAAGCTCAAACGCATTGAGTTTTACATGATATCAGTGTGATATTAAAAACAGTCTGCCCGCCTCAAGCTGCGTCGCAACTTGGGGATGTATAATTAACTTATCCCTCTCAGCTATTTACATTTTATTGGAGTTTTTTCCGGATTGAAAAGTTGGTACTTGAATGGATCTTGCTTACATATTCATTCTTCAATGCATCTATAAGCAAAACTTAAGAGTCAGAAGCTGTCTATGTTCAAAGTGCCACTGTGAATACTTCTACCTGTTTGCAAATCTCATTCGGGAAAAGAGTGAAACATGACATGTTTTCGGCTCAACAAGCTACGCTTTACCCCCTCATATTTTGAGTCGGATTCGATAGAATAGCACGGACAGTTGCTCGAGGCCTGGAAGGATATGCTATTTGTATGGAGGCTTCCATCTGATACGATAACACGGTGGCGAGACTTGTTTAGGAAAGTATCGATCGACTGTTGTTGGAAGTTCCACCGATACTTCGAGAGCTCTACTTTTTATATAGATGTTAATGCACTTGAGAGGAAACAGGAAAGAAAGTCAAGACTGTCATTTGCTTCAAGCAGGATAATAGAGCGTTGACCTAATAGTCTCACGATTGTAAAACTAGCGCATAAAATGAGCGATGAAAGACTCAATAATCGATGCCGTCTAAAGAAGAGAAGTACTCATGCGATTTGTGCTGCGAAGCCTTGGCAATACATGCTTCAAACCCTTGCATCGCATAAATGTTTAACTACAAATGCTCAAGGCTCTGATCCACCCGTCAAGGGCTTATGGACAAACTATTTTGGGCGTTGACATGGGCATATTGGGTTTGAGGTATAATGGAAACCATTAAAAGACCAATTTCAATCATTTGCGGCATATTAGTACTGTACTAAGCACATTTGCGGAGAGATCGAGTATGTCGAGTACGAATGCTGTATCCTTGCAAGTCTCGCGATGACGAAATCCGCTAGGGAATCGAAGAAATTCTTAGTAAACTTCGTTTATTGATAGCATGTGAAGCTGGATATCCAGATCTAAATTAAAGACAATCTCACTTTAGGCATGGCCCTTAAAATTCTCCAGAAACCATGAATTGACTGAAAATCGAAAAAGATATTTGTCAAGCAACTCAGGTTTATTATCCAGACACCGATGCTGTCACTGGGTTACACGCACCCTTGTATGAATAAGTGGGTTACACAAGATGGTGTACCCGTGCAATGGTGTGGCTGCACCGTAACAAAAAGTCACCACGTTGCAGGATAGCCGGTAGTTTAGTGCACATTAATTAGGTTTTACTATATAATTATAAAAACCTAAAGACTTAGATATAGGCGGCTCTGTCGCAAACAAAACAATCAAATACAGTTTTCATTTTAAATGCCTTGGTTAAGGTCTCTAACTACTCTGGAGGTAGTGAATTGCGATTCGCTGGATAGGGTTGGTGATCTCAGCTTAGCTTCCTCTCAGCGAAGAGATATGGCAGCCCCGCTGTACTTGGTGGCACTTATAGTCAATCTACGCCTCAGTCGTAACGACTGATCCTCTGTTAGGATGGAGGAATACTCCTATTTGCCCCGGGGCATCGCGGAGGCGGTCGCAGTGACCGTCCTTATGGAGGGCCTCCGCACTGGCGCGGCCAGAATGAAAATCTTTCGTGTGCATAAGTCTCCTTTTGAAGAAGCGGTGAATGTGGCATAGAATGCCAGATTCAACTATAAGTTGGCACGACTTCGTTGGAGTACACACCCTCAGAGCTCGTCGAGCGGGCCTGAGCCAATAGATTTCAGCTATGCTGAGAAAGAGGGGGGAGGCTTCGAACTGACAAGCAGCGTTTAAGCACCCGACGGTGTTTTGT